AACGGGCACATCAGGCTGTAAATTTGGATCCAGACTCAGGGCGTCAAAGACGCTTCTTAGGGTTCCCTTGTGGTTTTCCCTTGTTGGACCAGTTTTGGGACCTCGGCCTGGAATAGTAGGAATTGCRTCTACCTGCTTGACCTCTGTTGTAAGGGTAACCCCGGTTCCTACCCTGGCCAGGGAACGAGTTCCCTGGGTTCCTTCRAAAGTTAGAACTATACGGGTGCCAGCGTTGTCTCTGCTGAGAGTATGGCTGCCAGGTATAGCCAAACTTATTGGCAGCCTGCCTCACATCCTGTTTCTCTTTAATTCTGGTGTCAGTTTCAGGGTTAAAAAGACCCTCCTCGTGGAATGGAAGGTCTTCCGCTAGTGCTCTACCTTCCTCTGATAAGTTTGCTGAGCGTAACCAAGCATGACGTYGTATTGACGTTGCAGTAGAATACAAATTTCCCGCCATCTCTGCCAGATGTTTTGCAAAATCCTTCTGGATTCTTGATAGTACCACAGCCTCAGCTTGTAAGGCTTTAGGGAAGCGTTGGCGCTCTACAGGGAGTATATCAATATATGGTAAAATTTTTGCCCATAGAAAACTTTGATACYCGCTCAGGTAAGTGGCATAATGTGCCATGCGCGTGAGCAGGCCTGCGGATAAGTGAGCCTTCTTGCCCAAGGTGTCTATCTTCTTTCCCTCCTTATCAGGCRGAGTAGTAAGGGTGTTTTTGGGGCGTTTTGTTTTTGCCACTTCCGCCACAACAGTGTTGGGTTTTGGAGGAGTAACCACCCACTTATTTGAGGATACATCAATTTTGTACAACGTATCAAGTCTCCTTGGAATCGCAGGCACTAAGGACGGGGACACATCTATCACACGTGCTAATTTCAACAGATAGGGCAGCACTGGGAGGGTAGTGGCTGGTGATGACACCTGTTCATCCGAAGGGAACATGGGGTCATCTACATGTTCTGGTGCCTTTGGGGYGGGAATATCTAACGCCTTGATCATTCTTCCCACTAGCACATTAAATTTATTTATCTCAGTAGTTTGCATAGCAGAAGCWCCCTCATTATCCCCCTGGCAAAGGTAATCAGGTACTTCTGAATCCTCTGATGAACTGTCCAAATGTCCCTGTGCCTGCTCAATTCCCTCTACTTGGGAAGCACAGTCAGGACCCTGAGGGGTCGATTCACCTTGGGCCTGAATGGAAGTTGAGTCATCATTGCACACATCACTCAATTGCAAGCCCGGTGGTCTTGCATGGGTTAATTCAGATCCCTGAATGTCTATAGGTTGTCTTGTATCAATCGCTTGTACTGGTGGAGCTGCATTCACACCCACTCCATCTCGAACAATCTGGGCTGAACGTTGAGGTCTAACATGGATTGTTGCAGATGTCGAAGGGCCCTGCACATCAGCAGGGTGCATCTCACATCCAGGGACCCTCATTGTTTGGCGTTGCACAGCACTGTGTCTGTGATCAGCAATATCAGGAGTATGCGTTGGAATGCTTTGGGTCCGATGCCCCTCCTGGCAGCAGCCTGGGTGGGGATAATATCCCATGGGGGGTCTGCCCCAGTAAGGTGGGTAAGGGTAATAATGGTGCTTATGCTTCTTTGCACGTTTGGAATGCCTGGGAGGTGGTGTTGGGGAGCGCGAGGATGAGGATGAAGAAGAAGACGAAGAAGATGAGGGAGAACGTCTTCGAGCTCCGCCCCTGGATGCCGACCGGTAGCGGTGTCGATGGGAACGAGAGCTCCGTCTGGAAGGAGACCTCGATCGCCTTGGGCGCTTGCTTCCCCCTCTTAAAGCACGCCTCGGCGAAAGCCTCTCAAAATCCTCCTGCACTTCGGGAGGCAACAAGGGCTGCGGCTCGCTCTGCTGAGCCCGTCCCCCTATAGGAGGGGCTAAGTCTGAATGCCCTCCTCTTTCCCCGGCGTCGATGCCAGAAGTCTGGTTTGCTCGCTCCGCCTTTATAGCCCGCTCGTCACTAATGGGCTGGGTTGCGCATGCGCGCTCTGTCCTATTGATGCTCTCGACGTCGGCGTCAGCATCAGAACGAGGAGCGGGTTGGAGGCTGCAAGCGACTGCCCTGCCGATATCGAAGGCAGGGTTAGGAGAAGCGCGAGGGGCGGCCAGATGGCTAGTAAGTGCCAAACTCGTGCCCTGGCCCTGGATGGCCATCGGGGGAGCAATTAGATGAGTGGAGGCTCCTGGCTTAGAGGTCCCCAAGCCTCCCATAGGAGGAGGTTGATTAGGCACAAGTACAGGCATAGGTGGGGTCACTCTAGTTGATCTCGAGTCACCCTCGTGCCGCTCCTGTATCGGCGTGGCGGCAACGTTCTTTTCAGCCACCAGGGGGAGACCTTCGCCCCTCTCCTTCGATCTCGAAGGAGTTTCAGCAGAATGATGGGCACTTAACGGACCAACCGTCGTCCCCAATGCGGCCGTTTTTTTTGCCCAAGGCCGAACGGCCATTTTGGAGCATTTTGTCCTTAGACTTCTTAAGTTTTTTCTTAGCCGTTGCGGCCTCACTAACAGGCGGATCGATTTTTATCGGATCTGTCGATGGGAGAAGGGCTCTCTCATATAGGGCCGCCTTTAAACGTAAAATTCTATTTTTTCTTGTCTGCGGAGTGAAAGCTTGGCAGACCGAGCACGATTGAAAAAGATGTGCCTCGCCCAAGCAGGCAAGGCAAAGATCGTGTCCATCGTTGTCCGGTAGTACATTAGGACACTTTGTACATTTCTTAAATGAATTAGTTGCCATCCTGACTAAGCAAGAGGCCAACCCAAAGATTGAAATAAGTTACTTCACAGATAGCTCGCACGAGATATAGGGTTCTCCAGCTGCTTGTCAGCGCGGATGAAGAGAACTGCCGGCTGGCCCCGCCCACGGGCTATTTATGCGGGGGGAGAGTGGGCGTGGCCAAGGGCTAACTGTCATTTTTTGCTTTTAAAGGGTTCCGAACACTGCGACGCAGGCGCAGAGATTACCAAATGTATGATTCGCAGTGACTACGAAAGGAAACCAACTTTCCTCTTTGGCTTCCTCACCGCAGACTGTCTCTCTCTCTCTCTCCACCAGTGGCAGTTAGCTCCGCCCACTTTTGCTTCTGCCTGGAGGCTATGTTGCTATGGCAACGCCCCAGCTCAGGCTACCCATCAGCTGGCCTACACTTACACCACAATATCAATAAACATATGCAAAACATACTTTATAATTAGCTATTTCATTACAGCCTTCATCCCAAGAGGAAGTGGGATTTAAAAACCCAAATCCTCTTAGATTTTTGGCCTGTCTAGAAGGACCCTCAGTTAGCCTGGAAGCTCAGGTGTGATGCCTATGGACCCCGGATTCCTTCAGATACAGCCATAGCAATTTAAATGGAAGCAGTGTAGTATAACTATATAATGTTTTAAAAACTCATATACTTTCTCTTGGAGACTAAATTCCTGAGACATTTAGTCCCCCTGAAGACACAGGTTCGCAGTCTGGAGACCCTCCTGGACTCAGTGCTGAACCTAGAGGCCCAGGTATCTGTGGTGGCCAGGAGGGCCTTTGCACAATTAAAATTGTTAAAAGCATATAAATCAGTGTTTCTCAACCTGGGGGTTGGGACCCCTGGAGGGGTCGCAAGGGGATGTCAGAGGGGTCGCCAAAGACCATCAGAAAAAACAATATTTTCTGTTGTTCATGGGGTTTCTGTGTAGGAAGTTTGGCCCAATTCTATCATTTGTGGGGTTCAGAATGCTCTTTGATTGTAGATGAACTATACATCCCAGGAACTACAACTAACAAATGTCAGGATCTATTTTCCCCGAACTCCACCAGTGTTCACATTTGGGCATATTGCGTATTCGTGCCAAGTTTGGTCCTGATCCATAATTGTATGAGTCCACAGTGGGAACTCAGGGTGGCTTACATGGGGACGAAGCCCAGCCAAACAGAGTTAAAATATAGCACAATAAAAATACATTGCATTACAATAAATTCAAACAAAAGTCATACAGAACATTAAAAAAAACATAAACAACCAACAACCAGTTGCTGCGCGCAGTGGACATGTTCAGAACATATTTGTATATTTGTATATTTTAAGTTGTACTGAAATGCTTTTAGTTGTGAGCCACTTTGAGTCTCTGTATGGAGAAAAAAGCAGGATATAAATTTAAAAAAATATAAAATCACCTGTCAGTTCTGTTTAGGCTCTCTGAGGGGCAGGAGTAGACATCCTAGTTACTTACTAAAGCTGGTGCTTTGCTTCTTTAGTGTTGCTAAAGTTCTGGTGGTGAAAATCTCAGAACTCTAACAAAACTTTCAAAATTTCATTATTATTTCGTTATTAGCAATTTTTATGACAGAACCAATTAGGAACTGCCATTTATAATAACATTTTGAAAGTTTTGTTAGATTTCTGAAATTTCCACCACCAGAACTTTAGCAACACTTTAGAAGCAAAGCACCAACAGCCCTAGTTTTGTAAGTACTTTAGAAGCATTTAGAACCATGGATTGCCCATGCCTAAAGATATAGAGCTACAGATCCCATCAGACCTTGGGCCTTTCTACACTGCAGAAAAAGCACAGGTAACTGGAATTTAAATCTCCGGTCCCCTGCACTTTGTCTGCCTACACAGAGGGTCAAATCCCTGCCTTTTCAGCAAGGAACTGGCCAGACACCCACCTGTGCTGAACTGTTGTAGGCATGGCCATCCAGCACTCTGCCCTCCCTGGACCCCGTTTCACCATTTAAAAAGGAAAAAACAAGCCCTTACTGTGGCTGGAGGCTACTGCTGGCTCCATGACTCTTCTCAATGATGTGTCAGAGCTCTGCAGAGGGGGGAATTTTTGGCTTGTAAGATCAGAAAGGATCTGGTGCCTTTAAGGTATTTAGAACCTTATTGACACAGGATATACTTAAAATATCTTTGTGTTCTCTTTCATGTATCTGTAAAGTGACTTTCAAAGCTCTGAGGTTTTATTATCACTTTTTTCAATGTAGTGGCTTTGTGTGATTCTAGCAGCACACAATGGGTGCAATTCAATGGAAAGTGCTACTATTTCTCCCCGGAGAAAGCTACCTGGATGCGAGCCAACAGAAAATGTGAGGAGAAACATTCACGACTTGTCATCATAAAGAGTATGGCTGAACAGGTAAGGAGAAGAGAAGAGCGGCTGTGAAGACATCTTATTGGCACGTGGAATCTCTAGTCTGGCCAGAGGCACTGAATGAATCCCCTGGTTTAAGGTTCTAGATGCCCCTCCCTCAACTGCTAATCTCAAGATTCCATAGGATGTTGCCATAGCAGTGGCATTATTATCTATATAAATAAGAATGTAATGTTTGTTTGTGGGATTAACATAACTCAAAACCAGGTACAAACATATCTACTCAAAATGAAAAACAACACAACAACACACTCACAAAACGGCAAAACAACAA